GTTGAACGTTACACCAAACAAAACGTTAGGTTAGAAGCCCTCATCAATACTGGAAAGAGCAATAGCAGCTACTGGAGATGTGAAACTGAACAACTGTTTTAAGAGAAAGATTTTCTACGGTTCAATAGGGATCAAAACTGACTGCTCGGCCATTGAATGCCAAATGCCTTCTTGTGAGTAAACGGCTAATATTACTATTGCCATTTGTTTGTGATTCTGTAGCGCCAGTCTACGTGATTCTAAGATGGTTGTTAAGAACTGAATAGGATTTCCGTTGCTAAACGTCTCTTGATCGTAACTCAGTTACTGTAACGAATGATCAATACATCGTCTGTTTCTCAATTAAAATTATAATAATCAATTCGTTACGGCTCGCTTGAAATAAGATCTCAACAAATGATAGAATCGGGCGATCAGCAGCTTCTGATCTCATTGACATGAAAAGACAAAGGGCAGGTGAATCTATTTTGCATGTATATTACACTGTAAATGGTTCTGGCAGATCAAGCCTATGAATCATTCAGAAGATGGTCTGGCTGATAAACTGATCCGTAAACTCTTCTACACACACCACCGTGAATTCAGCTGCAATATATGCAGGCACGTACATTCAAGAGCAGAGGGGAAACAAAAGGCAGCGTTTTATGTAGGCTGCAGTTTGAGTCGATGTACAAGAAGCAATTATTACGTTCATTCACTCATAAAATAAATTGAACAGATTAAACCTCACAAAGAATCAGTAACACCAACAAATTAGAAAAGCATATCCATGTATTACGACGTACAAATAAGTAATGCCTTTGTGTTGATTGATAATTATGGCGGTAAAAAGAAGAGATTTAAATAAATAAATATTATCGTGTTCGTAAAGTAATTACTTTTTACCAGAAAGGATTATAAAAACAAACCATAGTTAAATTTATTTAAATGTTATTTTTCAAAAATGCAATCTGATTCATTTTCAACATTTGCAGCTCAACGAGAGTACAACTCTTCTATTCTACGTTCAAGGAAATCAGGGTCTGGAAGCCTTTTTTTTTCAAATTCTTCTTCGTTTTTGAACGTTCTGCCATATTCTATTTATTGAAACTAAAATCTGGTGATTATGGAGGACGTGGAAGGGACTCCTATCCTAACGATCTTATTTTTGATTGGATTTGTTTTGCAAAGTATGCCTATATATTGTCATGCTGAAGAACTGCGGGGATATTATTATTATAAATGAATAAAAATAAAATATAAAATAATAATAATAATAATGAAAATTATGAATAAAATAAAATAAAACAATAACGTAAAAACGTTATATAAAATAAATTAAATAAAAAGTAAAAATAATAAAAAATACTCCCAGCATGCAACAAAAACTGTTCCTGCCGGAAATACGGGCATTCCGCCAAAAGACGTTAAATTCAATCTCTTCGCCACGAACCTTGATACAGGCAACACGTGTCCAACTTCTCTCTGTGATATGTTGTGTAATAATACAAAGTAATTTCTCCCTTTTATCACACGTACCATCAAACAATTTTAACGTAAAAACTACACACGCCATTACACACAAAAATAAATTGTATGAAATTAACATACAATTTACCATGCTTTCCTGTTATTTCTGTACGTTTTATCTCCGTGAATACGAGGTTAATTTCTGATTCCATGACGTGAGTGACCCTCCCCCACCACAACAACCACCACCACATCATTTTGGTGACCGCCGACGTGCATAACAAAAAGAGCCTATTCATCAACAGAATGACACCTTTTTCTGTTTAGCAAAGCGAATTTATTTTTGCCAGATGGCTTTTTAGTCGATCATGTTACAAGTAACATCTACAATGATCGTCCCTCCATCATGGACGACATATTTCGTATTCTTCCAGACCAAAAAAGAAATTATTTCTGTGAATAGGTTTCTGGTTTAGAGTTTGACACTTGTGATAAGCGCAGTTATTTTTGTTTTGTTTTCTGTTAATATAAAAATATATTTTTTTATCATCTGTAACAAAAATGAAAAATTGGTATTCCTAGGGTTAAGACACTGCTACAGATGGTGGAACATTAAGTTCATTTCTAAAGTAAAAGCTCATGAGGAATTCAAACTTCCTCTTTGTAAGTTTCCTGTTTGTTTTTGTTTGTTTTGTTTTGTTCTTTTTTTTGGGTGGGGGGGTACGTGTATCCAACCCATTAGTCTCTTTCAACTGTTTTTCATTCAGAGTAAGTAGTCTTCCAGAGAGTAGCTGACCGAATCGCCATTTATAAATGCAATTTATCCTGTGAGGCTAATGATTCTCCAGGCTCATTTTTCTCATTATATATCCCCGAAATATCAATGTCTCTTTCTGTTTGTAAGTATACGTACAAAATCTCCTATATTAACTTAGGAATGTAATTTTATTTTTAAATAATTACATATCTACGGAACGTAGATATAATTGTATCCCATGCTGTTTCGAAATGTATTTATTAAGATTATTATAAGACATTAAATGTTGATATCCTTCTTTCATTTCTAACCCACGCTCCAACCATTATTCTTTTGAGCAAACCGAACACGTATTCGCGTATTGATCCATTAAATGTTTTGCGTTCCATAGCATTCCATGAGGACCAACTGATTTCGATGATTTTTTTTGAAGGTCATATCTATACATCTACCCATATTTTGGTTTACACCATTTCTAATATCAACACTGGCTGATTTATTTGTTTTCTATAGCTGAATAACCCTTTGTCGTTTATTTAAAACCGCTATATATATTTAGCGTCATAGGAGGCCGCTTACAACACCCAAGCGGTATCCTCTCTAAGTACTAATCGTGTTCCTTATTGCTTAACGTCGGTGATCGAACGAGAAACGGTGTTTCAGTGTAATCCGACCTTTGTCATTATGAGAGAGGTGTTGTAGAGTGAAAGCATAATTCATCACCTACAAGGCCGCGTTAACCCTTTTGATTTTTAGTTTGGTTTGTTTAACAGTAGATCAACCCTTTATGGGTCATTTAATGCCGAAATTTAATTTTATCGGTAACTTAGTAATTTTTTTCTAATAACGTATTGCTAGTAACTTTTTTTTCTATGAAAATATATTGCTGGTAAATTTTTTACTATGAAAATGTATTGCCGGTGACGTTGTTTTTACTATGAAACTCTATTGCTGTTAATATTTTGGGGGGGTAAGAAAATGTCTTTTTACTATGAAAATGTATTGCTGGTATTCTTACTACAAAAATGTAATTTTACACTTTCATAATGTTTTGACCCTATTTTGGGAGTTCACTATTTGACCATAGCTGAGACTCTAAAAGCTGCTACCACTAAAAGTCAGGGTGGATCTTGAGAACAACAGAAATTAAGAGGCGATTCCACGCTCCTCAAAACTTCCCAACCAGAGGCTTTACTGCCAAATACAGTTTATCGTTATACCCAGTAGGTAAACGCTTTTGAACTCTGTCAGGGTTGTAAAGTGAGGATTTTGTAGCTTTAGCAATAGACATGGCAGTAGTACTCCATTTATAGTTCGACCTGATTCTTGCAAAGATAAATCATGGCTGGTGGGTTTGAGTACTTTCTGGAGCGGTATAAGGAAGCGATCTTTTTTTTTTTTTTTTCTAGCATTTGCTATAACTTTTTAAATGAAGCTTCATACCTAGTATGAAGAGAATAATTTGTAATGTCTCTATGGATTTTTATTATTTCTAGATGCTAACCATTCAAGCAAAACGACTTTCTCCGTTCGCTAAAACTACCTTGTATTAAAATGAACTCTTATCTGCTATCCTTGGATTGACGATAAAAATACATCCGACAGCAAGGCCTCTGATCGGGACGTTTCGAGAAGCTTAGAAACACCTCTTAATTGCTGTTGTTCCCATGTCCACCCTCATCCGGGGTGGTAGCACCTGTTATTGTCCCAGCTATGGGCAAATAAGTTATTAACCCTCAGACCAGGGTCAAAACACTATGAAAGTATAAAAATAGATTTTTATAGTAACAGCAAAAGTAATGCATTCTTGGCAGCCTGGGTATAACGATATACTACACTCAGCAACAAGGCTTCTGATCGGGTGGTTTTGAGGGGTGTGGGCCACTTCTTAATTGCTGTTGTTACCAGGTTTACTTTGACTCAGTGTGGTAGCATGGTCCCAGCTATGGGCAAATAATGAACCACCCAAACAAAAACAAAACACTATGAATGTATAAAAATATTTCTTTATAGTAAAAATACCAGCAAATATTTTAATGGTAAAAATTACAGCATTATATTTTAATGGTAAAAAAAGATTGTCTATATTGCTTAGATGAAGTATTATATCTATTTCCACTATTTACATTGTTCGGACTGTTGTCCTCATCTTTATTGCTATATTCACGACGTATTGACCGATGTGCGTTTCGGTCTTCTTCATGTGATATACGAACAATTTAAATAGTTAAATTTGAAAAAAAAAAACTTCCAAGAAAATTAAATTTCAGCACTAAATGACCCATAAGGAGTAGATTTGCCGTTAATCAAACCAAAACAAACTAAACTTATTTGTTTTTCTCGTTTAAATCTTCCTTAGTTGCCATCCAAGGCCTTTGTATTTTTCAAACTTTTCCGTTTTCTTACGACTTCAAATTTATATTTGGCATGTCTACGATCTAGATTTTTTTTTCCTTGTTTCCATCTATCGGATACAGTCGGCTCTTAAAATCCCAGAACATCTTGCACATTTTTTTTTATTTTCGAGTAAAACATTGGGTTTGTCGCGTAGCCATTTGTTCACATGGTTGAACTTAACAGTCATACTTCGTAAGAACAAGATTTTAAGCTCGACATTATTTAATCTGATGCTTTTCTATATGCCATATATGTATTTGCAGATTTCTCTGTCTCAAAATTATTCTGTTGTTTTAATTATATATATATATATATATATATATATGTATTACAGCGCTTCTTCCGGATACTGAACAGTGATCAGCTGGTGTCTCCTCAGAGTGCAGCAAGGGAGATAATGCATATCGTACGCAACAGAGACTTTGCGAAATTTTTTCAAAAGGATGAAATAAAGGTAGGACCGATATTTACTTTTCGTCTATTTTTATTTTATTTTCCTCGGTTTTCTCTTTACTTGCTCTCTCTACCCCTTTTACATTTCATTCTATCTCCCTTTTTCTCTCTTTCTCTCTTCTTTCGTCTTACCCTCTTATCTCCCTTGTTTTACTTTCACTTCTCTCTTTACTTTGCTTTCTTGTGTTACTCTCCTCTCTTATTCTTACTTCCTCTCCTTTTTCTTAGTTTTAGTTCATTGGCGGACTGCGTTCGAATCCAGACTAATGCTATTTGTATACACTTCAATGTTGTGTTTGCAAAATATATGGACGTAGATACAGATATTTGTCCAAAGATTAAAAACAACGGCTAGGGAGAAGTCGATATGGGAAACACTGTTACATAAGCTTCAATGACCAATCAAATACAAGTATACGAGAATTCCAAAAACTTGACAACGAACCTTGGTTATAATAATTAATGCCTTAGTGTTAGCGTTAGACTAAAATAGAAATCATTCTAACTGATTAATATTAAATTTTACTATAAAATTGAAAATTAAAAATGACCAATTTTAAATTTAACCTGTATTAATTTTAAACTATTATAAAATTATTTAAAGAAGAAACTGAGGAAAAAATACATATATTTTATAATTTATCTTGTTTTAATTGAAAAGACAAAATCTCAGTTAATCTAATGGTGATATAAAACATCGTCACAACTTAGATACATTTGAAGTGATCATATATCTTATAAGGCAAACTTAAAATATAAGAGATTTTCAAAAGGATAATTCTAGATATTTATTAAGTAAATATTATGATAGACCAATCGCCCTTTGCTTTAAGAATCATGATTAGAAATCCCGCATTTTATCTGGGCTCGAACAGCAACCACTGAAATGAATCTGACCCAGTAGGCAAACCCAAGAGAAGGTATAAGTCTTTAAAAATCTATTATTAAATTTCTAATGAAATCTTCCAAAGCTTCCCATATAACGTGGCCAAGCACTGTACTTTAATGTCTACTTCAGACCTTCCCAACTCGCCGTCATTTTCATCCTGCTGAGTCACCGATGCCCGTCAAAGAGATAAAGCCATTATTGATTCCGCGCAGATTGCCCCATCTTTCAAAATGAACTAATCTCCCGGCATACCGGTCCACCTTCAGTCCAATCTCGTTTCAGTATGAAGTCAACTACAAAGCGGAAGCAGCTATTTTTCTTAAAGCCCACATTTATCCAACCCGACCCATTTTAAATACAAGATTTTTAAAGCACAGCTATGATACATGATTAACTTGCTGCTCTTGCAATGCGATTATAATAAGCTCGTTCCCAACAGCGAGCTTCTTTGTTATAACTTTCTGCTAGGTCATTAGGATCATAGTGGCACCAGGTGTACTTCAGTTACTGCAATAGTGGTGTGAACCTGACGAAAACCATCCCTTTTCAGGTTGGTTTTGAATTCAATCTTTTTCTTCTTCTAGACTGATTCCCACCAGCCCATAACTGGAACGGGCGAAAGCGATAGATTCATATAAGTATGATAACGAACGTAACGAACTCAGACAGAATTCAAACTTGCTGATGTCTTTTTCTGAGTCATTCATCAATACATACATCCATACATTTTTCGCATATATATATATATATATATATATATATATATATATATATATCATCATGACTCCAGAAACTTCCTGTGCTTAGTAATTTTGTCTTTTCGCTATCGAGCCGAGTTCGAATGCGGCATATATATATATATATATATATATATATATATATATATATATATATATACACGTAGCGAACTCCAGCTGAATTCGGCTCAATAGCGAAAAGACAAAATTACTAAGCACAGGAAGTTTCTGGAGAGTCATGATCATCCACTTCCTGATGGGAAGCGGCACATAAAAAAAGGCTGTTCAGGCCAAAGAATCAGAATAAAATGGAAAGCTGTAGAATGCATTCAAGAAATCTCTGCGAACGTCCAACACTGAAGGATCTATAGTGTCGCAAACTATCACCAGTGTATACAATAATAAGCATCTTATTATATTTGAAAAGGAGTGGGTATATTCTGGCATAGCCCATTTCATAACCGGGTGTATAGACTGGCTCAGTTTCACATATGGGGCTCAGCTGAAAAGTTCATAGGCTGACCAAGATATAAATGTATGTAGATACACGAGTTGGCAGACTAAAAGACATGTATTCGGGTACACGTTTTTTTTTATTTTATTTTATTTTATTTTCTTATTTATCAAAGTAGCGAAGCCAGGAAGACACAAGGGATTACTGGGCGTAGAACAAGAAAAAAAGAAAATCATTTGGGAACGAGAACAGATGACTAATGAAGACAGTAGATAGCGACTGACATTATATTTAAATTTTTGAAGATCAAAAGCTATACAGCCACTAGGATGCAAAAGGTTACTGAGTGTTAGAGAATATGATAAAAACTATTAACGAGAGGACAATAAAAGAATAAGAATTAAGAAGACAGAAGATAACAATTGATATTGCATTTAAATTTTTTAAGATAAAAGATGGCTGGAAGCATAAAGCCTGAAGTAAGTTCCGCAAAGTGTGAGAAAAGAAACCGTTAGCATAGAAATTAGGCTTACATCTAACCAATTCAAATATGAATTGATGCCGCCAATCTAGTACTGAGTTTACATTCATAAATGCTAGGTACCATGGCAAAGAGTTTATTCGAACAATTACCATAAAAATATTTAGAGAAAAGGGACATGGAAGCAACATTACGGCTGTGAGAAAGTGACTGAAGCTAAAGTTAAAGCTGAGATGCCAGGTCAGGACCAATATTATTGCTCATTCTTCTTTGGATTTTATCAAGAATCTTTAAATATACAACAGCGGCACCGGACCATATGTGGCAGCAATATGTGTCTTTTCTTGTCTACCAGTTTGTGTGTCTACTGATATTTATATATTGGTCAGCCTATGAACTTTTCAGCCGACCCTCGTATACGTATAAAACAGCCTAGGCTAGAATGACCCCGGGTATACTTTGGACTGGAGGTACATCTTGGGTTATTACAGCCTGCTTAACTATCCGAGTATCAGTCTATTCCCTAGGTGGTTGCGGAAAAAGATTAAGGAAAGAATCTGTTATAGACGCTGGATGAAGCACCAGTTACAAAAGAGTTTTATTGCGTTTGAAGAACTCTAAGTGAATAATGGCTCACAAGGATCCCTCATTCAATCTAGCTCTAGCATCTCAGTGGTGAAAAAAAACTGGCTGTTTACATTCAATGCTAGTTATATTCCATCATCGCTGATCGGACCCCAAATTATCGCCAGTCCTGATGAATGGGTGTCCTCCAGGAGAGATTGCGTGCTTGATACTGTTGTATCTAAATCTCGCCCCTGACATTAAGTGGAATTCGTACATTCGAGCCATCGCTAAAGATGCAGAGAAAATGGTCGGCACCCTGTACCGCTCACAAAGTACCTGACTCCTCTGCCTTTACAATAACCAGATCAGGCCAACAGTGGAGTACTGTTGTCATATTGGGACGTGAAGCTGGACAGACTGCACTTTCCACCCTCGATAGTATCCAAAAGCGTCTTCGAGTCTTTATGGGTGACGAATTACTTTCCACCCTCCAAGCTCTCTCACAGGTGGCATGCGTCATGCCTATCTCTGTTCTATCGCTACTTTCACAGAAAGTACTCGGACGAGCTACATTCCTTGGTTCCGCTAGCTCCAAATTTCACGGCAAGGACCCACCATTTCCCTTACACTGTAATAAACCATCCACATTAACTCGGTGTTTCATGAAAATTATGTTCGACTCGAAAAGCTTCTTTCCGCGAACCACTGCTTTGTGGAACCGACTCCCAAGGGGATGTTTCCCCTATCACTATAATCTTGGACTGTTCAAGTCTAGGGTTAACCGTTATATTTCCCTCCCATCAGCATAAACAGCCTCTTACTTGTACAGGGTAATCCACAGTAAAAAAAAAAAAAAAAAAAAAAAAACCCACTACATGCAAAATATTACCTTTCTTCTTCTGGTGTTGGTTGTGGAGATTCATCGGGCCTTTTGCGTTAAGCGCTATCTCAGGTGTACCATTTTCACTATCTGTTATGATATATTAAAGAAACGGTTTGTCATTAGAATTGGTGCCCCAAAACGGTAATTACTTACGACGCAATTTAATATTTATTTATTTTTGTTAAAAATATGTTTATTTATTTTGATTTTTCGTTTCATAGACTTGTAGGGATTTTTATTCTAATCAGATTACAAACGTGGAAAACAATTTTCTTTTTAAATCATGCAAAAAAGTTTTACATTTAAAGAGAATCAAACGCTGGGAAATGAGTTCGGTATTTTTTCTGATCCATTTCATGCAATTATTCACTAAATATAACATTGCAAGGCATAAATCCGTGCAAGTTGATGATGGAATTCGATAGATCGTCGTATTCGTCAGTGAGAAAAATTTTCTATCCAGATCCAGAAGTAGTTTTGGGATTATGATGGCGGACTATCTACGTATTAATGTGTTTATTAACTCTCTAACTACGACAGAAAGTTGCATCATTCTCAGCTAAGCAATAAAACCGAAATGGTGGAAAGTTCCGTCATTCGCAGGTGAACAATAGAACTGTAATGATGGGAATTTCCGCCTTTCACAGCAGAGACACAGAACTAAAATAACGGTAAGTCACAGGTAAATAATAGAACTGCAACGGTGGGAATTTCCGTATTTCGCAGCTTATTTATAGAACTGCAATAACGGAAATTGTCGTTATTCGAAGCTGGGTCATAGAATTGCAATGACGGAAATTCCCGTCATTCGCAGGTGAATAATAGAACTGTAATGATAGGAATTTCCGTATTGCGCAGCTTAATTATAGAACTGCAATAACGGAAATTGCCGTCATTCGCAGATGAACAATATGTCCATTTTATTTAATAATGACAGGTTCGTGTATTGGGCACCTTTTGAAGCTCAAACTCAATGTATCATAGGATTCGTCTGTAAAATGACCTTGCCAACAAGCTAATTTAAGTGGATGTTTATTTGGCTGGAGAAACTAGAATTGCACCTGTAGCGAGTTTGATTCACACTGGGTGCTTCACGTTTGTAATTTGTGCGCTCAAAGCAGTGGAGTAATGGCTATCAGGCTACTATTTCAGATTATTACTACTGTAGTAAATTTGATCCGCACTAGGTGCTCCACAATTATTAAAAAAAAGAGTTTCGAGCATAAGAGTCGTAGATAGAAAGTGAACATTGTGAAGATATAGGGCATAGATAACAATTGATCCTATACATGAAGAGATTAAGAGTGTAGTGTTCAGTGAATCTTACCTCTCACTAGTCTATCGCTGTTACTATAGTTAATATTCAATCGAATTATATTCCTTAAGCCCAACAGTTCAGACTTTCACAGCGACGCCACGCCACGCCATGTTCCGGTGGTCCTTATATCTTGTATTCAATCAGTTATGTGCCATGCGTAATACACGCGTAGGCGATCATGTATCTTTCGATACCAGTTACCAAGGCTATAGAACCCGGTCTGGCCTGCTATTTACCCACAGTTGACGTGAGAAGAAAAGGATTCATACCTTTCCCAAGTGTATTAGCACATAAGTGAATGTAATAGATTCGACTGGAATTCGAACTCGGCTCTCCGATTCCTCAATCACCGCCGCTATTCATTGCTGCAACACCAGTCTACCGAAGAAAGAACCTACTGCGGGAAAAAAATCTGCCTCGTCAGTCATATATCGAAAGATATATGATCGACTAAGCGTGTATCACGCATGGCACATAACTGACTACCTTGTATTGGATATATATATATATATATATATATATATATATATATATATATATATATATATATATATATGTTTGTGTGTGTGCGTGCGTGCGTGTGTTTGTGTCTGTATGTGTAAAACGAAATCTACATAATTTATTACAAAACTAAAACTTCAGATTCGCATGGTCCACCCGCCGACGTGTTAACAGGCATCTCTGAAGTTATCTTTCATGTTTTAGATTAGAATGCCGAAGTTCGGAATGTGGCTCTAGATATCATGAAAGCATTCGGCAGGGATTGCCATGCTGGCCTTCTACCTATGCTCGACGAGTACGATGTCACGGGACGTACACTACAGTTCAAAAATTTGAAATTGATAAATTTTTTTTAATTTGGCTCAAAAGGTAGTTGTTTTACACTTTAAATAAGAGAAAATTATTATAGATAGTTAAAAAAAAACGTTTGACAAGATTTTTTTTATTAGACATGTTATTACGACAAAACAAAAAAAGGATTTTATAATTAAATTTTGCTCTCGTCAAAATATCCTCCTTTAGATTTGATTACTGCAGCACAAATTTATGTTTGATAATTGATTCCATTCTTTTTTTTTCAGTGACTCTACGGGCACGTCTTCATTTTTTTTTTTTTTCACTTTTCCGTCAAGTTCATCCCATGATAACTCTATGGGTCTATTGTATTTTATATTTACCTACTTTAATCGTTCCTAACCAATCGAATAATGAAGGTTGTATTGAACGGGAACGCTTCCAGAACATTTCATACTAATGCAAGGGACCGCCAGGGTTCTATTCTTGCACCTACGCTGTTTCTGGTCTTCATCAGTGGTCGCTTTTAGTTCATCCGTCTTCAACTATATAATTATGCAGACGACACTATCATTTACTCCTGCCTTTTGTAACAAATCCAACAGACCCGACAAAGAAAACGTGGCAACTAATCTTGAAAAGTACCTCCAATCAGTGGTTAACTGGGGCAAGAAATGGCTTGTAAATTTCAACCTCTCCAAAACAAAACTAAATTCTTTGAATCCCCGCAAACAACCTATTCTGGCTATCATCAGGGTGGCTGATGCTAAACTCCAGGAGAGAAACACTCTATGCTTTCTTGGCCTCACGTTTTCCACTGACATGAAGTGGACCGACTATATCGAGTTAATTTCTACGTCTGCTGTGAGGAAGTTTGGTTCACTGTGCCGTGCAAGAAATTTTATTTTTTTGTTTGAATCCATCTTGCACATTTATAAATCTATCATCCTTTTGTGTATATTGTTGACATATCTGGTCTGGTGCTACTGCTGTGTATCTCAAAATTCTTTATAAAAGGAATCTGCAATACAATAGATCCTGACCAGACATCTCGTCTTCATTCACATTCTCCCCGACGTGACGGGGCTTCTCTCTGTCCGTTCTACAAATATTTTCATGGTAACAGATGGGATGAACTTTTTTTTCAAACTAGATGAATATAAGAATGCTACTAGATTGACAACTAGGTCTCATTGTTTTACTGTTAAACTAGCTAGATGCAAACACTACTTCTACTCTAAAAGATTTTTTCTCGCACTTTCCACCTGTGGAACTCTCTTCCGTTTTATTCCTTCCCTGATAACAACAGTTTTATGTTACATTATTCCGAATATACGAAGTCATTTCAACACATTAATTTATAGCATAGCTTTCTGTGGTGGCATTTTCAAAAAATATCTCTGTGTCTCTTTAAGTATTGTATAAATGCATGTGTACTTACCAATGTACAATCAAGTTCATGACATCAAATTGTTTTAAACAGTAAAACAATCTGCTGCTATTAATCCATTTGCAGATAATTTATTTGATAACATTTTCTTTCTTTTCGGTATTTCTTTTGCGCAGACCACTCGGGCGTTACGACGCAACCCTCCTCCTCCGCGTACTCAGAACATCTACGATTTGGCAACAACAATGATCAGGTATGACACCATTACTTCGTTCATATATATATGGAAAAGCACACACACGCACACACACACACAAACACACACACACACACACACACATATATATATATATATATATATATATATATATATATATAATTAATGTAGAGAAACTTATCACTTTACTGGGTGATACTGGTTCAGTCATGCCGACTTCGAAGTTTCGTCAGCACATTGCACTAATGATTTCACTCCTCAGGGCCATTGTCTTCTCTGCTGCTACGTGTAAATTTTGTTGTATTTATGTATGGTTTGATGTAATGCAGCAGAGAAGACAAAAGCCCTGAATAGTGAAAGCAAACCATTACTGTAATGTGCTCACGAAGTCGGCATGACTGAACCAACACCACTCATCTAAGTGATTCTATTAAGGCTCTCTATTTATCCTTTGATATCAAGAACTTTATGACAAAACCTGCCTGTCTAAAATGCTTTCCCACCAGTAAACTACGGAAAAAGAACCATAAATTTGGGCACCCAAAAACTCTTACAAGTTTATACTGTACATATATATATATATATATATATATATATATATATATATATATACAATAGGGGATGAAAGGTGCTTGACTTGACTCATTTCCCAGAATCTGATCAACATCAGAATTTGTAAATCCCTTGTTTTTTCGAAAGTATTTCAGTAC